TATATATATATATATATATATATATATATATATATATATATATATATATATATATATATATATATATATATATATATATATATATATATATATATATATATATATATATATATATATATATATATATATATATATATATATATATATATATATATATATATATATATATATATATATATATATATATATATATATATATATATATATATATATATATATATATATATATATATATATATATATATATATATATATATATATATATATATATATATATATATATATATATATATATATATATATATATATATATATATATATATATATATATATATATATATATATATATATATATATATATATATATATATATATATATATATATATATATATATATATATATATATATATATATATATATATATATATATATATATATATATATATATATATATATATATATATATATATATATATATATATATATATATATATATATATATATATATATATATATATATATATATATATATATATATATATATATATATATATATATATATATATATATATATATATATATATATATATATATATATATATATATATATATATATATATATATATATATATATATATATATATATATATATATATATATATATATATATATATATATATATATATATATATATATATATATATATATATATATATATATATATATATATATATATATATATATATATATATATATATATATATATATATATATATATATATATATATATATATATATATATATATATATATATATATATATATATATATATATATATATATATATATATATATATATACATATATATCATATTATATGTACACACACACACGCATGTACGTATTCTGCATGTATACATATGGATATATGTCTCACTATTTATCTATCTTCCATCCATCTATATATCTATCTGTTTATATATCTACACATGAAAGTGTGAATGTATGCATGTATATGATCGTCACGGATCCTCTCTTTCACATTCACTTCCCCCCCCTACTCTCTCTCTCTCTCTCTCCTTCCTCAACATTTTCTCTCTCTCTTTATTCTCCTCCTCATTCCCTCCTCCTCCTCCTAATTCCCTCCTCCTCCTCATTCTCTCCTCCTCCTCCTCATTCCCTCCTCCTCCTCCTCCTTATTCCCTCCTCTTCCTCATTCCCTCCTCCTCATTCCCTCCTCCTCCTCATTCCCTCCTCCTCTTCATTCCCTCCTCCTCCTCATTCCCTCCTCCTCCTCATTCCCTCCTTCTCCTCCTCCTCCTCCTCCTTCCTCCTTCTCCTCATTCCCTCCTCATTTCTTCACGGTCACGAGAGGACACGCATCATCTTCACAACCTCCTTCTGTCCCTTCCTGAGGGCGTCACGTCCAGCCCTTGTAAATGTTCCCCGAGATGCCGACAATTTCTTCTTCTTTTTGCCTCTCCTCTCTCGCAAACACACACGAAGCGAAACTCGGAAGTAGAGAGACACGAGAAAGAGGGAAGAAGAAGAAGCAGATAAACGATGTAGAGTGATGCGAACTGATAGCGGCGAAGAAAAATTGCTGAATTTATTTCAGAGATTAAAGAAAAAAGAAATAAATCCCAAGCATGGTACTGGTAACACATTAGCAACAGCCTAAAACAAGAAATATGATAACAACCAGAATAATGAATATAGACCAGAGTTAAAGGAATAATAATAAAAAAAACAGTGTGGTTACCTCATCAGTAACGGCGAAACATCAACAGCAAGGGCAATAAACACACACACAAACACACACAAACACACACACACAAATCTCCCTCGATGAAATACCATTTAATTCGAAGCACAACGCAACTCACTCACACTTTGTTTTCTCCTCAGCTCCGAACGAGAAACAATGGGGTTTGAACACTCCACATATCCTCATAACTTTGGCTTTTTTCCTCGTAACTCTGGCTTCATTCAGCCTCACGTTTTAAAGTTAAAAGTATGAGGGGTACACGTCCCCGCTGGCCTGGCTTCTTGTTATGAGCCAGAGTTATGGCTTTAATAATATTCGTCCCACCCGGCCCTCGCCTCCTCTTCCTCCTCCCTTCTCTCCTCGCCTTGGTCGCTGTCTCTTCCCTATGTTCTCATTCCTCCCTCCTTCTCTCCCCGCCTTTCTCCTGTCCTCCTCTCTTCCTTTCCTCATCCCTCTTTGCTTACTACACCTGTTCCTTATTTCTCTTCTCCTCCTTTCTCCCTTTCTCCTCCTCGTGTTCTACCTCGTCCCTCAACTCCTCTCCACCCTTCCCTCCTTTCCTCCTCCCGTTTTCCTCTCTTTCCCTTCCCTCCCTCCCTCCCCTCCACCTTTTCCCATCCCTCCCTCCTTTCTTCCCCTCTTCTCCCATTACATTCTTTCATACCCCTCTTGCTCCTCTCTCCACTCCCTCCCTCCTTCTCTCTCTCCCTCCCTCTCCCCCCCTTCCCTTCC